CCCCCCCCCCCGTTCGTACTCTTTGCCCTGCCTTGTTGAAAAACAAAACCGCCGGCGAAAAACGGAACCACCAACCGGTGGAAAACCACCCAACATTCATGTATCTCGCCACAACACGGCTCCACGACAACATAACGAACGAAGCTAGAGGATGCCGTCGAAGCCGTTTCTCGAGACGGGTCTGTCCGATCGGTGGTTCTGAGCAGCGGAGTGCCGGGGGTGTTCTGCGCCGGCGCCGACCTCAAGGAGCGTGCGGTGATGACCAAACCGGAAGCCGAGCTGTTTGTCGTGAGACTGCGATCGCTCATGTCGAAGGTGGCCAGCATCCCAGCGCCTACGATCGCCGTTGCTGAAGGTACGCAGCGATGGAGCGTACGTGTTGCTCGAGGTGAAATAGTGGGGGGGGAGGGGGGTCACGCGTGCCGTGTTCTTTGGACCACAGGTCTACAACTTTTGAGGCACTCCGGCTTTCCGACGAAAGTGAGTGTGTGTGTGTATGGGTCGGCAGGCACATGACCGTTAGTCCGACTTAAGCAGAAGAGCAGTCGCACGTCTTACGCACGTATTTTGGTCGGTATCTGTACGTCCGTACCACAAGCTTAGTGCCAGTGCTCGTTCAAGGGCTCGAAGTGAACGTCCCGTCTTACCCCCCTCCCGTACCCTGGGCTACGTACAACCAACAAGCAGGCGCCGCGTTTGGCGGAGGACTAGAGCTGATGCTGGCGTGCGACGTGCGTGTTGTCGGCGCGAAGGCCACGATGGGTTTGACGGAGACAAGCCTCGGGATCATTCCGGGGGCTGGAGGCACACAGCGCCTTCCTAGACTCATCGGTGATTTCTTCTTTTAGTTTTAATTTTTGGCAATTCATTTGATACATGTACTTACTTGTATGACTTCCCCGAAACAGAGTAATTACGAACAAAACAGAAACAACACACACACACAGTTGGTTCACCACCGGGGCGAAATCAATCATCCCTCAAGCCTCCTTGTGCCAAGACTTTAACACATGCGTGAACGAGGAGTCTTGCTTTCTTCATGTTGTGCAAATATTCTAAAAACAAATACTCGAAATACACCACGGTGGTGATTTTAGACCAATGGTCTAACGAGCTTTATCCGGTACACGACAAACGGTTGACCTCTGACATTATGGTCGCGTCGGCGTTTCGGAAACTTGGCGGCGATCGTGCGTATGGTATGCGTTCGGTTCGCTGAGCAACAGGAATTGGTCCCGCCGAATCTCTACCGTGTCAATCGCACAAACCGTTTGTACTACACTTACCACAATTCCATGCCACCCCACCAGGCTGTTCCACATACGAGCGTGGCCCCGGGTGGTATTGTACGTCAAGCACACTGAATAATCACCAAAAGACGCGTAGACTGGACTGGCACCAGCGTAAAGGCAGATGGGATGTACACACCACACCTTGGACCGATGTTCTGAGATCGAAGGTCGACTACTCCACAGCGAGGAGGGTGCCGACATCAAATGACGCGCTTTCGGAAGGCTCTATTCGAGACGGTTCCAACGCCTGCCGACATTTTCCGCACCGCCACCAGTTCTAGTGTAGGGGAACCGAGCTTCGAAAATCCTTCTACGGGGTGTGGAATCTTGTGTGGACTGACACCAGCGTAGATGGCACGAACAGACGCGGGGGGGATGTACAGCGGTGTTTATTTTCCACGGCACACGCGATCCCTCACTGAGAATCAGGCGCTGCCATTCTCTCCCACCCCGAAAGTAATGCCCGCTCCGGAAACAGCGGTGTCATGGCATTTGGACCCTTGTTAGGCTAAGTTACCGTTTCGGCGGGTACGTTGCAGAGGTATGTATGTACAACGAACACCTGCGTAGGATCTTCATATTCCAAGCGGTGGAGCAATGGTTGTAGCAGCAGCAAGCGATGTACAGCGTTCCCTCTTTGCTCAGTGTTGACGCTACACCCCGCAATCTCTTATCGTCACACCGGCAACAGGTGCGTCCAAAGCCAAGGAGCTTATCTTCACGGCCAGGAGGGTGGACGCTGTGCGCGCGCTTGAGCTGGGCATGGTGAACGCGGTCTTCGACGCCGGTCAGGCGGAGAAGGGGGCGTTCGCGATGGCCGGGGAAATGGCGAGAAGAGGGCCGCTTGCCGTGCGAGCGGCGAAGCTTGCTATTGACGAGGGTTTGGCGATGGTGAGCAAGGGTCACGTACGTCACTGAGTTTGACGGAGCCGTTGGCATGTACGTGTATGCCCATGAGGTGCAGCGTGCTCCCCGTACGTTGAATGAGATTCTCCAAGACGACGAGGATGGGAAAATCCAGCAGTATGTTGTCGCAATCCCCTCGACGAGAAAGGCGGCTCCAACGCCACCGCTTTCGGAACACTCACTGGTGTTGTAATGCAGAGTAGCCTAGCTCTGCACATTGATCTAGGGAGTGTCTTAAACAACCTACGGCGGTGCACAGGCCGACTATCAACAGAAGCACTTTTAATAATCGGAAGTCAAGTCAGCTGGTGGAGGATACCCAGATCGCTGGTAGAAGTGACGCCAACATCATGTCAGGGACGCTCACCCCAACGTGACGATATTGGCTGTGGACATACTGTAGACGTTATCGGTCCATGTGTGACGGTATTGTTGCTGTATGTATGAGGTAGACAGGTACCATCCATGGGACGATACTCATCTAGAGGACAGTCTTCGCTGTTATTTGCGAAGCATCTCCGTAGATTGGAAGAGCCAAGAGGAGGGAGTTAGAGCTCCCTCTCCCTGCCACTCTTCCAGCGATCAACAAGCAAAGCTATCCCAACGACCGAAATTGCCCCTCTACCAGTCGGGTCCGTCCCATATCGCATTCACGTTACACCAACTGGTGTGATGAGTTTCCCTAAGGTCTTGTATCACCCCCCCCCGTGTCCATCATCTTCGCCCCCTTCCCACTCTCTCATGTCGCACATACCTTGTGGTTGCCTGTTTCGTTCCTTTGCCTCTTTTTTTTTTTCGTGCACACTCGCGACGATGACACCACACCATGAACACGGTCACATGAAGGAGGATGTCGAGCGGGGCATGGCGATCGAGCGAAGACTGTACGCCAGAGTCCTCGGCACGAAAGACAGAGACGAGGGGTTAGCGGCGTTTCAGGAAAGACGGCCGCCAGACTTCACAGGAGAATAGCACCCACCATTTACAAAGATGAGAAAGATGGTTTGGAGATGTCCTTCATGAAGGATGCAATCTCCCATCGTATGGTTCGCTCTGTTCACAATTGGTTTTTATTTTTCCTATTTTGCCGTCGTGTGATCGCAGCTGGTATGTCACGGCAGTGTACAACGAGCGGTGTAGCCTGGCGCCCAGAAGACGTGGAACGAAGAACGCATGCACATATAGCGTCGTGACACTGCTGTACATAGTCGTCACACGGCTAAGAGCTCGACGGTTGCCTGCTTGCACAATTTGCATGTTTGCACGACCATTTTTGAGGTGTAGTCGCTGCGGCACCGGTTAAGAAAATGAGGAGAGGAGAGAGGTCGGCAGAGATGGAGCAAGTGCGGGAAGAAGACTGTCAGGCTTTGCCGGGAAGCCCTTCCACTGCTGTGCCAGGCATTGTCTGCGTGGCAGGCATTGTCTTGAACGGGTATTTCAGTTAGTTTTCTTCAGTGGTTGTATGTATACATAGATTTCTTAACACCCGCAGGCATTGACACGCGGTCATCTCTCGCGATGATAGTATAGAAAAGAGGTTCGCCGCCGTTCGTTGTACGTTATTAGACTACTTGATGGGATGGGGTCTACAGTATTGGTTGTTTTCTCTGGGAGGCAGCATCATAGTTTGTATCAAAGGATGTTTGAACGGGGGAGTACGGAGCCATGCTCGCCCTGGTGGGACTCCGAGCAGCTGGTTGTCTGCAGTTAGCGCCGGCACTTAAGAACCTCTAGTTTTGGCCGAAGGGGGGAAGATGTTGCTACTGTTGTTCCTCTTGAGGGCTACAGATAGCAGCCGTTTACAGGCTTCAGTGTAGGGTTTCTCAACTGGGCTCACCAATGGTACTCAAGTTCTTGGGTTTTGAGTTCTTCGACGCCCCAAGTTCTTAGTATTAACTGCCCAGTTCTTTCTTGGTGCTGGCTCGAACAAGGCGCGAACTGCTGTCTGTGACAAGGTTACGGTGTAGTCTTTATATCTGAAAGAATGAAACATTGTGAAAGGCTGCCTACGGAGAGGAGTCAAGATGGTGTTGTTGCTCGCTATTTGGGGTGAAGAGCTCAAGTCAAGAAATTCCAGCGATGATTCAAGCGCGGGGGG